AATCTGAAAAACGTTTACAGTTGTAGTTTATAGTTCCTGTTCATGTAGCTTCTGTCACGACAACACTTGAAAAGACTTTTTGTGGCATAAAAGGCTTCCGTTTAGCCTGCGAAGCGCAGACGTATTTCCAGTCGTCGCTTCTCTCCCTCCGTTATTTTTCGGAGGGAGAGAAGCGACGACCGGAAATACGTCTGCGCTTCGCAGGCTAGCTTCCGTTCTGAATAAAAGTATCTTGCTTGCTCACCCCATCCTCGGAGACCCAGGGGCAGTCAGTCTGTGCTTGAAAACTTTCTTCGCGCCTTTTCTCCCGACCCGACTGACTGCCCCTGGGTCTCCGAGGATGGCTCACCCTTGTTTGATTTATGGCACATCCAAGGAAATTTACCCCACCCCCCGCGCTTCTGTTGATATAGGGCCTCTTCATATGAGCCCGGTTGACCGGCTGGCTCGGTTACCGGGATAAATTTTGCCTTGGGTTCATATGAGAAATTTCAGCCCGGTTTCCGAGATGAGAAAAGGTTAAAGATCCTGGGTACGAGTTCTGGCGCCAAATTTGGGAAACAAAGCAACATAGCGAAACACAAACATTTTAACTTTCGGGCCTATCTTGGCATCGGTAACTCTTAAAGCTGTATCACTGCAGTTAAATGGGATGCTTATGATGTGGAAAATACAGCAGGCAATGCAAGACGATGCCATCCGGACCGCCAGAATTCATCCCGCCGTTCATCCCGGTAACCGGGATGATGTGTTCATATGGCAAAATTTCCAGCCCGCTTACCGAGATCTCGGGAACCGAGCCAGCCCGCCCTCTCATATGCACACATTGAAAACTTTTACAAAGGATTTAGAGGTGAGGGGAGATCTCGGAAACCGAGTCAGCCCGGTCAACCGGGCTCATATGAAGAGGCCCATAGTGGCGCCTTAAAATTTGCAACTTGATGCCAGCGTTTTCACTACAATAGTCATACTCGATACGCCTAGAGCCTAGAGCCTTTCGTGATATTTATGGGAAACGTAATTTACCAGGTAAGATCGACAAAAGGATTTTAAAGTAATAAGAGACACTCACTGGACCCAACTGGGACAGCAGCATTGTGTAAAGCAAAGATTTCCTTGGACGTTGCGTAATTGACACGGCGTGGGTCCTTGACCTGCTTGCGTTGACCTTCGTGCGATGGATAGCAACATGTCGAACTTTTACGACCTCTCCAGTCGACTGTCAGGTCTCTTCTGTGTTTAGGACAGATGGTCATGGCTGCTACTCTGTCTTGAGATAAATCGAAGTGTCCTGCTCTGTTCAAGATGAGCTCCTTCTCAGTGATTTCTATTCCTTCGGATCGCCATCCTCGCTTGCTACTCACATCAAGTCCCAGTAAGTGTGGTGTTATGTCTTCTTTACAAGCATCCAGAGGCAGAACATTTGTACTAGATCCGTAAGAACTACAAGGTGACTCTTGTGAAGCGAACGAACAGTTCATATTTTAAAGCAAGCCTGGTACAACGAAAGTACGCAAATTTCGGCGAGTCGTAAATGAAACCTGATAACCCAGCGGCGCGCGAGAAATACAAATCTATAGATGTTGCTCGATCTCAAATTACGCAGCTACAATTATACGTGTAAGTCGTTTATTAATTTCTTAATTTCATATTTTGGCCAACAAACATTTTCTGCAAAATCCAAGTAAAAAGTATTCTCCTGAAACTTTATATGACTGAAAATTCGTCGCACAGACAATTTAAAAATCGTCCATTCATTTCTTTATAATTAATTCTAATTAATACGTCTGCTTTATAATTTGTATCATACGTGTACGACTGCAACGGTTTCCGCTGTTCCAAAGTAAGGTTGATTTCTTTTCATTGCAGTATCCTTTCCAAATTATTTTTTTTTATACGGGTGATGAAGTTTTCAGCCGTCTAAAGTTACAATTTAAAGGCCATTACCAAAAAGCAAGGTTACATGCTTTATGCAAAATACCGCAAAATCACGTTCACGAAAATAGGCTTCCTCTGAAAAGAGTTTCTTGTACCAATCAATACTTTTTTTCTTTTGACTTAGAAGGGTATAGACTATTGTAAAATGGAATTATTTAACAAATAAACCGCCGCACTTTCAAGAAAATGGGCTTAGAAAATCGCCGAAATTCGCTGTCCTGTTACAGTCACGCAACATACCCGGATTAAAACCCTTGGGCAAAATTACCGTTACACTAAAAATTTGATTTTATACATCCAAAACGTTTATTTTAAGGTACTTTAGCTTCAGAAAAAAATCTGTGCACTAATTCCTTAAGGAAAAATTGTTTTAGACCCGAGAAATTGCCATTGTTTTTGGTGGTTTTTAGGGCTTCCCTTGGCCAAAAACAAGGGGGGTGGTCAATCTCGAGAGTGAAAAGCCGGGAAATCTTGTTAATGTCACCAAAGTTAATCTTATCAGCTTGGTTCTTAATGCTGAAAAAATAAAGGAAATCGGCTGACCCCAATCTTTTGGCACCGCCCGGTTTTCTCTGACAATGACTCTTAAGTTAAAACCCACGTAATTTAAAATCAAAAATAAACTTTTGTATCTGCTTCAAAAAATACATGCATGCTGTTAAATTATTCACCACTTATGACGCTATGACTGCCCGGGGAATTGGGAAGCTTGGGTTTGTTATTGACTGACGCATGAAAATATAGAACCAGACTACGTAGATTATCTTTGCCTACTTGCAAATTCAACACTTGTTAACACTTTTCTATTCTGTTTATTAGTTCTTCTATAGTCTGTGAAAATTTTCATAAGAATGTTTGTATCACATTACATGTAAGCTTACTTTATACAGATGTCCTTTCTTAATTCCATTATTTTCTTTTAGTAATTCCCAGTACCAGTGACCAAACTCCTATTTTCCAGTACAAAACAAGGAAATTCTACTCCTTCAGACCCCCAAAGTCCTTACATGATTTTACATTATCATCTTCAACGTCATGGTCTCGTTGCTTGCTTAGTATTGAAAGGTTATGCCAAATAAATACACATGTTTAGTTATAATTTACTTTAAACGGTTAATGCTGGTTTCATTGCTCACTGAAATGGTAGTTACTGAGTACTTGAGACAGTCATTCGAACTCGTCATAAACAAGTTGGAATTAAGCTTAAAAAGTTAGAGAAAAGGCGAGCCAGGACAACTTACCTTGCCTTACTATCTGCTCTTTTCAGCGAGATCTTGAGTATCGAAGAGCCTTAGTAATACGTGTAATACAGTCTTGGTCTGTGTTGTGAACATTCCAGTGTTAATGCTTGTGCTTCACACGATGTTTCTGTCTCCATTTCTGACTGAGTATCTCGTCCCGAAAGGGTTGCTGCACACTTGAGAAGTGATCGATTACTAAAGGCTGATAGTGCCATTATAAATTGTAGCAACCTTAAGATGTCCTGTGATGCTATCAGGAAGCATAATATATGAACGATCTCCAACCTTTCAAAGAAGCAAGTTTGAAATCGTTGGACACTTTCAAAATGGACGCCAAATCAACGAACCTGATTGAGCATGTGCAAAGGAACAAGCCCGCTGACCAGGTGTCCCTTCACTCTATTGTTTCCAGGCCCCCTTCTTTTAACAAATTGTCCGTTCCCAAACCTGAAGTCCGCGGACTTAAAATAAGGAAGCAATAAAGGAGGTTCAACGATGAAGCCAGTACTCCGTTGAATGTAAAATGGTCACAGTAATTTGTGAATGCGTTCTTTCTCTTTAAGTAATGCGTTCTTTCTTTCAGTAAGACTCGCCGTTTTTGCGAGGCGATATTTTTTCTTTATTTTCCAATTATTTCAATTTGATCAAATTACAGTTGAAACTCTCTACAACGGCCACCTTAGGGACATCGAAGAAAGTGGCCATAGTAGACAGGTTGAAAGAAGAGTAAATGTATGTCATGTATGGACCGTCCGCCGAAAAAAAAAACAACAACAAAACAAAAATGGCCCGTGTAGAGAGGTGACCGTTAAGGAAGAAACACCTTATACTGACTGAAATCAATGAGGGAATACTACTGAGTATTGAAGGCTATTGTATTTGCCGCGACAGATATGCCGTTTTTCGAAAATTGCCGCACAGTCGCAAGCTATATCTTTGCATGAACTCTGCCAGCAGAATTTTCTTTTCAGCGTCATTTTTAAGCGTGTACGAAGTCGTTTGCACCACCAAAAAAAATTGCGTGGTTGGCTTGTTTACATCGCACACCAACATCGAACACCAAATGAGTGATCCAAAAAACTATGCGAACTAGTATAAGGACACAAACGACTTACTAAAAACAGTGCCGGGAATAAATTGCTGTTAGGAATTAAGCTGGCATTATATGACAACCTTACTAAACCTTTACTTGTAGCGTAAATGAGCGTAAAGCTGTTACAACAACTTTATGCTAGCTTTACGAAACCTTTAAGAGCCGAGCGCGTAAATTTACCTTTACAAACCTTTACGCGCCGTGGAAAGTTTGCGTAAAGTTGGATGACCAACTTTACGCAGGTTTACGCAAACTTTAATTTTGCGTAAATCTCCATTTTCATGCTGTGATTTGTGTCCTAAATAGAAGAAATGCTGAGTTTTCTTCTTATTCCCTGAGTAACAGTAGAGTTATCCACATTCACTTGCTGTACAAAATACGGTAAAAGCAATGTATAAATTAGATATTGACAGTGGAGGTAGGTCGGTGTCCGCGTGACAGGTTAAAAGCTTACACTGATTACTTTATTTGCACATTCTACTGAGGAAATAATCCCTTGAGATCTTTAGCTATGAAGTGCAGGAAGATACGAGGCATAGTTATAGTCAAGGGATGAAACAACAAGTTGACAACAGATAGGATTAACAGAAGAGTAGGTATTTGAAAGTCAGTGAGCTTTCCTGTTGTACTTTATTTAACGTCATGGAGCCGATAGTGTAACATTATTTCTTATGTTCATATGTATAGGTAAGGACATACGTTCATTTGTGGATCACTGCAGCCAGAACTGGTTTGCTGTTGCATCTATTTATGAGAACACGCTTATGGAAATAAAGAGGAAGTCACCTAAGATTGTCGAGGCGTTTCTACGTAGTGATAACGCTGGATGTTATCACTGTGCTCTTTTATTGCTAAGTATTCCTGGTATTAGTCAACGTACAGGTGTAACTACAAGCCGATACGACTTCAGTGAATCAAACAGAGGTAAAGATATATGCGATCGCCATATTTCTCCTTTGAAAAGTCATATACGCCAGTACGTCAATGCAGGAAATGATGTCGAGAAGGCAAAAGATATGAAGAAAGCAATAGATTCTTACTCCGCAGTTAGAGGTTGCCGTGCATCAGTTGTAAAGGTGGACACTTGCGCACAGGATCTGCATAATCACAACTGGAACGGAGTACTGATGTTTTCATACTTCAAGTTTTGCGCAGACGGAATCAGGATGTGGAAAGCCTTTAATGTTGGAGAGGGAAAGTTCGTTCGTTACGATAAGCTAATGAAGAAAGGCACTAGCCAGGGAAGTACCCGATTGGAGGTCGTTGAGCCCTTCACATCCCCGCGTGTGTCGACTGGCTTCTTGTACAAAAATAGCAAAACGACGGAAAACAAAAGTGAACCTTGTGAATTCAGTTGCCCTCAACCACGCTGCATCAAGTTATTCAAAACGACAACAGCGTTGCAAAACCACCAGGACTTTGGCAAGCACATTTTTTGCACCCAAAAGAATTCCACGCATGACAGTATTAAGCGTAAATGGGCTAACGCATGCACCAACCTACGCCCTTCATATATTCCATCCAGACAGAACCTTGAAGGATTGAGCCAAGAAGAGTGCAGAAAGTACCCCACTGCTGAGCCTGGCTGGGCCTTGAAGAAAAACAAGAAGACCGGGCGATTTTCAGAACATGTCAAAGAGTACCTCCTTAAACTGTTTCTTGATGCAGAAGAGACAGGAAATAAGAGCGACCCTGCCGTTGTTGCCTCAAACTTGAAGTCACTTCGTGGACCAGATGGCGTAAAATTGTTTTCTTCTAAAGACTGGCTCAGCGCTCAACAAGTTACATCATACTTTTCACGTCTCGCATCGGTCGCTAAGGGTGGAAAGCTTTCTTTAAACAAGAAGACTGTAATAGAGGAAGAAGATATGCTCGATGCCCTTGTTGAGAGAGGAGAACGAGAGTCCATGCGAGAGAAAGTTTTTCACGTTGTGGACTTATAGAAGGAGCTTAAAAACCGTTGAGAAAAAGATGGGGCAGAGCCGATAAGCAGCTAGATAGGAGATACCTGTTACCAATACCTGTTATAACGCGTGCTCTCTAGGTGCACTTCATAAGAATGACAACACATTTTTCTATTAATGAAAACTTTTTGTTGTAAATTAAAAATTTGTCCCATCTCCGCACACGGGCTCTGCAACCAATTTTCAGGCCCCGGTTGTTCAAACCTTGGTAAGTACTATCCACCGGATAAATCACTATCCAGCAGATGAGTACTAGGGAAACCAATTGCGTTATCCAGTGGATAGATTTTTATCCGGTGGATAGCGCTATCCAACGTTTGAGCAACCGGGATTTCTTTCTTTCTAAGTTATGTCATATTGGAAGATGTGTTGGCTCTTATACATTGTATACAACTTACAGCTCATCATATCACCTTATAAGGCTATAAAATAGATTTAAAAAAGAGCTTACCCTTTGCCAGACAAAGCAAAAATACGAAATTTGTAAATGGCATCAAAGCAAACCATTTTCTAAAGCACTAAGCAAAAGAACACTTCCCGTTGATTACACAATGGCCTATATTACCGTAGGACAGTTTTTTATTGCAGGCGCATAAGCAATATGGCGGAAGAAAGAGTTGTGGTTGATGTGGCCCTTCTGTCGTAATCTTTATGTCCAGAAAATAATAACCGTTGTCAATTTAAATATCAAAATGGGCTTTAGAGTATTGGCCTTTTCAACAGCACCAAATCTGAGAAATAAGTCGCAGCCTGTGTTTTATCGCACCACCCAGTCTTTCTGAACGGCAATGGAATGTGAACTTTTGGACGGTTTTATGGCAGATATAATCCCGTGGAAACATAACAATGTAAAGAGAAGGTTAGAATCTCCTGTTAGGAAGTTTTTCTTGCAATTTCTTTCAAAAGCACTGGGGAAATGTAACCAATCCTCATGAATTGTAGCATTATCGTAAGTCAGTAAAACGATCAGTTTGCAAATGGTGACCAGTAAAACCTCGGTATTTCTCTTAAACTATTGCAATACCCAGAAGTTTTATATACCAGAGCAAAAGACAATACCTCTGCGTAAATCATCAAGTATTTCGCTTTACTTGAAGCTCTGCGAGAACTTTTTTTTTATTTTTTTTTGAAAACTCAAGAAATTTGCATAATTTTTCTCATTAACATATGTCATGTTAAATAATGCTATGGAAAATTTAATAAAGAAGAGTCACACTGATTATGTTGTCATCGTTTAAGAGTGTATACTCAGTAGTTTGTGAGAATTTTGTTTCACCTGGATTGCTGAACAATTTGCCAGAAATATTGTCATTGAAAAAATCACAAAATTTGCACATATTTCAGTGTAGATTTGGCTGTTCAAGGGTACCCCCCCTGAAAAAAAAAAAGAAAAGAAAGAAGCTTGAACAAAACTAATACCATATCTACCTATACTTCACCAAGTTATGCCTATGTGGAAAGTTTGAGCCAATTCTGTGATGTGCACTGTAGCACCTTTTGCATGGTTTTCTCATGGATAGCCTCTTAATAGATAATATTTTTGCGAAGAACTTTTTTGAACGTTCGAGAAGCGGCTTATTATTTACTGACATTTCAAATCATCTACCCGTCTTCTCAATTCATTCAGATAACGTTAACAAGTCGGTAAATCGATGTCGAGAAGACCCCTTCTTTATTAGAGATAAGAATCCGAATAATATTCCTACTTTTTTTGAAAAACTAGAAGTTGTTGATTGGTCTTCGATTAAAACTTGTGATGAGCCAGATATTGCGTACAAACGCTTTCATGAAATGTATACAAAGATTTATAACGATTGCTTCCCTCTCAAGAAGGTGACTAGAAAGCGGAGGCGAATTAAAAAACCGTGATTGACGAATGCTCTTCTTAAATCCATTAAAACAAAGAATAAACTTTACAAAACTGATATCTTCAGGTTCCAACAGTCGACAATTCTTCACTCTACAAAACATACAAGAACAAATTGAATCACACCTTGCGTTTGGCTAAGCGTCGGTATTATGAAAAGAAATTGGAAGATGCTAAATCAAATACACATGCGACCTGGAAAATTTTAAACGAAGTCTTAAATAGAAAAAAGTCAAGGCCTCAATTAAATACAATATTTTAGTCAGACGGTCAGGAGATTTCTGATCCAGTGGAAGTAGCAAATAGGTTTTGCAGCTACTTCTCTAGTATTGGTCCCAACCTCGCAAAGAAGATACAGCCTCCTCCTTGTTCACATAAAGATTTTCTGTCAGGATCATGTCGAGAATCAATCTTTTTTAGCCCAACAACAGAGGATGAAATTATTACCATTGCTCAATCCTTTGCTTCCAGGAAAGCGGCTGGATACGATAATATTCCAATGTCTATAATTAAGGAATCCATTCAAATCATCTCGGGACCTCTGGCTCACATTATGAATTTATCGATCGCTCATGGTGTTGTACCAGATCAAATGAAAATAGCTCGTGTGGTACCACTGTTTAAAGCTGATGACCAGTCACTATTCACCAACTATAGGCCTGTCTCGGTGCTACCAAGCTTTTCAAAATTTCTAGAGAGAATCATCTATAATCGCTTGCATGATTATGTAACAAATTTACATATTCTCAGTGATAACCAGTTCGGCTTCGGGAAAAACCACTCTACGACGCTTGCCTTGATTGATTTGCATGAAAAATTTCATCTGCTATTGATCGGGGTGAATTAGCGGTTGTTTTTTTAGATCTCTCGATCTCATTCCATCTTATTTAATAAACTTGAGCACTATGGTATACGTGGCTTGGCTCTGAAATGGATTAAGAGCTATTTTTCCAACAGACTTCAATTTGTAGAATACAATGGTTATCTTTCGTCTTGTGCTAATATCATGTGTAGCGTTCCCCAAGGTTCAATACTAGGGCCTTTGTTTTTTCTGCTCTACATCAACGATATAATCAACACGTCAACAATATTACAAATGATATTATTTGCCGATGATACAAACGTTTTTGTGTCTCACAAGGATAAAGACTGCCTGACTAATATACTGAACGCTGAGCTAATAGCCAAAAAATTGATCAAGTAAAAGAAACCGTTTTCTTGGGAGTAATCACGGATGCAAATTTAAATTGAAAATCTGAAATCTCACATGTCGCCAATAAAGTTTCTAAATGTACAGGAATTATTCGTAAATCCAGTTTCTATTTATCTACGAAAACCTTACGAACACTATATTTTTCTCTAGTCTATCCATCCTTTTTTTACTGCAACTTAGTTTGGGCCTCCACTTACAACACTAACCTTATTCGTCTTGCGATTTTACAGAAACGGGTGATCAGAACTATAGCTCAAACCACTTTCGATGCGCATACTGATCCAATCTTTCAAAATTCTGGTATCTGAAGATTTCATGATATATACTTAATACAACTAGGCTTATTCATGTACTCCTATCAAAACCATACTCTACCTTTAAAATTTCATTGTAAATTTACTTTACAAAGTCAAATTCATTCGTATAATACAAGAAACTCGTGTAAATTTCGTCTGCCTTTCTGTCGTACTCGAACCAAACAATTTTGTGTTTTTCATCAAGGACCTAAATTTTACAACACCTTAAACACCAACATCATCAACGCTTCCTCACCTTTTTCCTTTAAAAGAGCACTTAAGGCATTTATTTGTAATAATTATTAGTATACTCCAACAGAAATCTTGCGAAAAAGCCTTTTAATATTCAACATTATTTGTAAACTTCAGTAATATTGATTATAGTTTAATTTTCCACCTGATATTATTTTGTATGCGTCGCCGTAATTTTTATGCCATCTTCGAAAAATTGTAATTGAGGAGGCCTAATTAACATAAGCTCTATAGTTTCCTTTAGGCCTCCTCGCCATTTCTTCCTACACTTTTTTTGGCATTTCTTTGTAATTATTGTAATCGTGTGGCAAATAAATAAATACAAATACAAATACAAAGACAAATTTTTGGCTTTTTGTCAGTTGTCAGTTAAATGGTTGTTAATGATTAACTATGAAACTTATTTGAATATTTTTGACGCTAAATTTGGCTTAAAAGGCACATATAATGTAAATTAAACATTATTTTCGAAAACTGATGCCATAGTACCCTAATTTTTATCAGTTTTGCTATTGTACATATTGTAATCATTTCAATTGGCCCTCCTTTTCTTAAGTCTTGGGTTACTCCCCTCCACTCGAAAGTTTTTGCTGGCCAGTGTCTAATATTGCTAACCATTAAGCCAATCAAAATTTATACCTTCAGAATATTGTATTAATGCATTATGCGTGAGTCTTACGCCTGTGGACTAAAGACATCGATATCACGCATCAAGGACAATTTCCCACGCCTGACTCACAATCCGGAAAAATTGTTCTTAACACTGTTGTGTCTTTTTTTGTATTCTAACGAAATCATATCAAAGCACGCTAAAATTGTCGTCTTTTAGGTAGCTTCGGAAGTGCTCAAACGTCTTCGGGAAAATCTGCGGACATTTAATTTTTGGCAACGTTCGGAAGTCTTCGGAAATTCGTCGAAAGTCTTCGGAAGTCGCCGGGACGTTTACGGAAATCTCCGTCATGCCAAGGCGAAAATCTCACGCATTTGACTTAGAAACAGTAGGCAGGTATAATATTGAGACGTACTATGGTAAGAATACCAAGAAAAACCGTGTCTGAATCATCTCAGTGAAAACTGCCAATTGCCTGTGTAACGCCCTCATTCTGAGTAGCCATCGTATGCTGGCGCGTTCTCAGAGTAGCGTAAATTTGGGATCATAGGTCATTTACAACAGATGGTACATGACACACATGAGCTTTACAGTAAAATCATTAACGAAATATGACCCTTAAGCGTCTTGCTGCTAAGATTACCCTTAAAAACGCACATTTGATCATATTGTCTGATGAAAAGAGTGGAACAATGCTATTTTAAAGCCTTAAAAACGGGTTCTGTAGAAAATAAGGGACAA